AGAGGGCCACTTTAGTTGGCGAGTATCAAGGAGAAGGAGATACATTTATCTCTAATAAATGAAGATGTATTCATCCAATGCACCTGATCAGTTACAGGACTATCGAGGGTATCAGCAGATTCTTTGCTCAGTAGGGATACTCGAAGGTCTATACTCCCAGATGATGATATCTGCACGTGGGCTTTATCTATTCCTGCGAGCATTTCAAAGCTCGTTCTGAATGCAGGAGGGTCCTATTGACCTTCAAGCAGGCTAGTCGATAGAGGACCTGCAAATGGGCTTGGTTTGGCCGCCTCGATAAGAGGTGTCTGGCAATATAATCAGGAATATTCACCACAGTATTGAGGGTAACAACTGGTTAATGAGCGTCGAAGGACGTGATCCAAGGCGGGATTGCAAATGCGGTATCACCGACGACCGCCACCCCCTGACCACGATCCCGACGGGATTTATGGGACTCGATGACCTCATATATGAACCCGTAATAACCCGGGTGACCACTTTAGCGACGGTCGGTCGCGGTCTCGACGCCTGTCACGATTTCAGTCGGCGTTCCAAATCAAGGAGGTGGCCTCGTATATAAGGCCATCTGCGACTAACCAAACACACAACGCATCTTGACTATCGACTCCACCCGTCTCTGCCAGCGCATCTCGTCGTCTTTACGCTCATTGTCGCTCACTGTCACTACTGCACATCGTAAGTCGTATTTTCTCAGTACACATAGGATCGCTGTATATGACGCCTGTTTCCAACAGAACTGCTCATCATGCTCAACGTCGTCGAGGCCATCCGCAACAATCACGTCGAAAACTATACTGCGCCGGTTTCGCAGCTAGAGCAAGTCGAACGGGACACTCTAACTTGTCCCGGAGCACCCAAGCTTCCATCTCTCGAGACGTTCGAAGGTCCATTTCTCGTCGATGATGAGCTACTCGCGTACTATAACCGCTCGGACGTCGCCTCCCCCCCTCTGTCTGAACCCGAATCACTTTTCGACGATGACCGGGACAATCTTGTATGTCCTGGGGCTCCAAGGATACCATTTTGCGAGGAATTCGAAGGACTTGGTATCATGTGCGATGAAACACTTGATTGCCACACCTACTGTTCGCTCCCCACTTTTCCCTCTCTCGCCCACCTCGAGCCAGACTTTGACGATAAAGACCGGGACAATCTCGTCTGTCCAGGAGCCCCCAAACTCGAGTACTTTGAATACATGGAAGGTCTCAACATCTTTAGCAACGAACCGCTCGTTCGTCATAATCCCTTTGACTCGCCGGTCCAACCCACCTGCGTTCTCGATGACGACAATGACGAGGATGAACCCCGAGCCCTATTCGGTCTCTTTCCAGAGCACGAACCAGAGCCATCCTTGACTTTTCGGCTTTGCTCTGTCCCCATGAGCCGGAGGTTCGACGTCACCTCGCGCTCGACCCTCCTCTCGACTCCGCCGCCGCCACAATTTATCGAGCAACACGGCGGTGAATTTGAGGAAAAGGAGGTGGAAATTTCCTCCGCGCTCGTTATTGCCGGCGAGCAAACACTTTGAGATTCACCCAACGTTGTCTCCCCAAAGTTATGGATACTCTCCTCTTATAATTGCCACACTTGGTTCCGCTCCCTATCTAATGCCACATCTAATTGACTGTACCGATTTAATAACATTTAATTACACAACTCAAAGACTCGTCAAGTTGAGAACGACCATTCAGATCGAGATTCAAAGACTTGGGGCACACAAAGTTATTTGCAACGTTTCTTTGTTATAGCAAAAAGCTCGAAGAAAACATGTGTTTGTGACAAGAATAATAAAATCAACAAATAAGAGAAAGAAAACATGATACAAAACGAAAAAGGTACCTCCATGAAATGGAAAGCGAAAAATGCATGACGAAAATGTGCGCGACGAGATTGCATGACAAGTGTAGAATGCAAAAAGGATTGTGTATGGAGGTGCAGAAAGCCATAGATGTGCTTATGGGAAAGAAATGGAACAAAGCATATGATTTCGTGTGGAAAGATGATGCGAGAGCAGATACGGTCGTTGCAAAAGGTCCCTGTGATAAAGAACCCGTGAATGTGGAAAAGGGGAACGTCCGAATGCTAATGGTTGTATTGGTATACAGTATGTGCTTGTTGTTGTTGCTGTTCTATTGCGTGTTGTGCGGCCGAGAGCGAGTAATGCAGAGATGATGGTACACGGTTCAGAGAATGTGGTGGGCTGTTTCATTGTCCGTGGTGATACATACGAGCGAGAGCGAGACGAGAATACCAGGAGAGCAAAGGGAAAAGAGAGCAGATTAGACGCGCTTCTTGAGGGTCTTTCTCCGCTTGGCACGCATGGCCCTCTTTTCATCCTCTTGCACCTCTCCCTGATCCTCCTCTTCATCCCTAAACGCCTCTGCAAACATATAATCGTCCTCTTCCACCTCGAGTGGCTGTGGAGTGGGGACAATCTCTTCATCGTGGACGATAGCGCGTCCACCACCAAAACAACTCCTCCACCAACTCTTCTTCTCCTTCTTCACCTCCTTCTTTTCCTTGACTTGCTTCTTGTCCTTCTTGGTCCACTTGCAGGGTGCGTGGTCTGCCTTTTCGTTGGTGACCGCACTCGCGTCCCATGTAATCTCCATCGACCGCGCGCGCTCCTCATCCAAGCGCCTCCACTGCCTCTCCCTCTCTTCCTCAAGGGACGAGTGGATGACCGACTTGTCGAGGTGTCCCTGTTGCATATGCTGCCTCACGGGTGAATTGCGCACATTCGTCGCATGCGCCGTGGTGGTATCGTCCTCATCCTCGTCGATCAATGTCGACGCACGCTGCACCGGGCTCGCACGGCTCGCTTCCGAGTCGATGCTCCTGCGGTGGGTGGTAGAGAGCGTGGTGGTGGGCAAGTTGAACGTTTCGACGGCGATATCAACAATGTGGGGGGAGGGAGGGACGTAGCGGTTGCGGCGACGAGGAGGCGGGGTGGGTGCTTGAACAGGGCCCAATGGGAACGGCGAGGGTCGTCGTCGGACACCACCATTATTGGTGGGAGTGGCGGAGGACGACGTGTCGATGGTGTTGGACGAAGGCGAAGAGAGGCCGGCAGAGGATGCAGAAGAGGAAGAAGCGGAGGAGGCTGGGGGCGAGGTGGGAGTGAGAGGGTGGGTGAGTCGCTTGTTGACGATGACGGGGGGAGCAGCGTCGAGGCTCCTCGGTGGCAAATCGTAGGTGATGCTGTTGGATGTAGTCATCCGTGACCTCCTGGTTGTCCTGGGTAGGGGGGGGCAGTCTGCGTTGAGGGGTCGACGATGAGGTAATGGCTCGTGAGTCTAAAAGGAATAAGAGTGAGTACGAGTATTTATACGTTGTGATGACGAATCCGACGGCAAAGCGGTGGGGTTAATTAGGAAAGTGGCGAGCGGCTGAGGTAATGACGCTGACATACCATCATCGAGCGTTGCTGGGCGAGCGTCCACAATGACGAGAGAGGATGACGAGGACTCTGAATCGTGTTGGTGGTGACGATTGGAGAGTGATAATCGATGGGTAGTCGGGCTTGTTCGCATTGGGCGAGTAGGCGTAGACGGCCATCGGCCCGCGGCCGTATCGTCCAAAAACGGATTTGGGTTGGGGGGAACGCTGACGACGTTGCGGGCGACTTGGTCCTCTATTTCGAGATCGTTGAGGGCGTGTGCGTCGTCGAATGCGTTGGCCGAGGCGAGTGGGCTCTGGTATTCCACCGCGTCCATGGGCGTGTTGAACTGGGACTCTGGCGCGTCACTGCTGTCTAGCCAATACGCGTCTTGTCCGAGCAGCAGATGCTGAGTGTGGAGGTCGCGGTCGAGACGTTGTTGCTTATTGGAAATGCGTTTGGTGTGGTTGACGCGGCGGTTGTATGTACTGGTGATTGCTGGATGGGATGATGACGAGGGGGTGTAGTGCATTCTACGCGTTGATGTAGATGAGATGAACGATTTGTTCATGTACGAATTCTGAGTGATTTATAACGCGTTAGACGAGCACATAGAGAGAGTGAGTGAGGGGGGGGGGGAGAAGAGGCGCGTGCGGGGACAAAGGCCAAAGGGGGCCAATTATATATATAAATGGGGGAGGGGGATGGGCAGAGAATGGAACAGCTGCCAGTGAGCGGCTAATGGGCCATCTTGTTCGGGAGACGGGCTGACATGTACTCACTTGTTATATTCCAAGATCGATTCCACAGAAAAGATCCACGATAGCGCTACTTGGGGGGGAGGGGTGCAAAAATGAGAGAGCGGGACGGGA